TTGTTATTTTGCAGTTATATAAATTATTTTAATTTTGGTCTTTAACATACCAAAATTTCAACATAACTTTATATTTTGGCCTTTCTGATTATGTAATTTTAAAATATTACATGATTGATGTTTTGATCTGTTATTTTGTTCTTAAATTGCCTTTTTACCAAGTATTTTTTGTAATTCTTTTACTTACTCAAAGTAAAAAGGCAAGTCAAGTACTGAGTATCTGATCAAAACATCAATCAATTAATATTTAAATCTTAAATAGTTAATCATTATAAAATTGTGTGTAAGACCAAAACCAAAATAATTCAATACAAAATAACAGAATCAATTTCTTTCAATAAAAAACTTTTCGAAAATTTGCAACTCAGAAATGTCCACGTTTTTTTTCTAGAAAATTTCTGCAGCTAAACTCAAAGTCTGAGTATTTTGTAGCAATTTGTTTCATTCTTTTAAATCTCAGAAATTTTTTTCAAGAAAATTTCTGAACATTTCTGAACATTTCTGATTTTTTATTTTACTTTATTTATTTTTATTGAGCACATTTTCAACTTTTCAAACAAAAATTTCCTTGTTCTTTTCTAAAAAAATTATATATTTTTTTTTAGCAGAAATTTGCCCCTTCTTTTTATTTTTTCATCCACAACAGTCCTAATATGCTGTTGTACTATTAAATACACATAATGCATAGAAATTAATTTTACGCCTTTGTTTTGGCGCCCCCTCTAGCGCAGCGCCCCTGTGCGTCGCATGCCCATGTTTTTGCGCCTCTGTTTCCAGTGATTGCGGTAGTCTAGAGATAAAACTGAATCGACACGTCATTGGCTCTCACTCTGGCTGTGTTTGTGTGTATTTTAAAGGAAGGAAGGGAGGAGGAGACAGCGTGGAAGTGGAAGAAGCTTTGTCGCAGTAACACAACTTCTCCAGTCGAGCAGCTGCCTTTCTACAGCACATCCTCCAACGGTCGAGTCCGTCCGACCGACCGAGTCGACATGCCGCCGGTCAGTCTGTGCTCTCCGTGACACCGGGAGGGTGTGAGTGAGCTCGGCTTGATTTTCACTGAACGCTGGCGCGGAAGCGAAAGGCTCGGGGATTGGGGAAAGACCGACACCTCGCTGCGTCTTCCCCGGCGCCGGGCAGCCACCAACCCCGGATCGGCCGCAGGGAACCAACCGCAACGGCTGTTAGCTGGGAAGCTAACAGGCATATAAACCGAGGATATCTGTTCAGTTGAGCTTTGACTAGAGAGCAGCGGGTAGGTTTTTTATTAATAATTGAGATATATGTGTGTTTTTAAATTCTCTTAATATTTTAGTGGGTTTTTATTGTTATTTGGGGAATTTTAATTCCCACAAAGGGAGGATAGGCATAGCATTAGCCTTTAGCTTCCATGGGCAAACATTTGGATATTAGTTCAGTGTGTGTTTATAGAATCGAGAAAGTGTAATTACAGGGGTTTCTGACTTATTAGTGTCATCACTTAAATTAATTGTATTTTATTTTGTATGTGGTTGTTATTTTTGAGCGGTCATCGTTAGCTCCCACTAGCCAACATGAATCACCATTTCTGTTATTCAGACTCAGCCTCAGGTTGTTTTGGGATTTTAATTTCTCCTCTACAAATATTTCAGCGACAGCGTGAAAATGGATTAAAAAATGAAGAGCGGGACTGTCTGATCATCCAAACAGGAGGGCCTCTCACTCTCTCTCAAAGGTATGTTTCTCTTTCACATCACTTCTGTTGTCATCTTTCAATTAACTTCAACTCCAGAGCTAATTTTATGAACAAAGTGTAACCCGATCACTGGGTCACAAGTGTTTCCATTGAGCCCAGTTCGTCATGCAGAGTGGTGCAAATGGCTAAACCCTCTGTTGCCCACAAATATATCGAGTTGTGTCCTGCAGAGCCTCAACAGATGTTTGATCTCCGCTGCCTGACCGCAGATCTGTTGTGTAGCTATATGGCATTACAGAAAGAAAAACGTGAATAGGTCAATATTTCCCCACTAGCCACATCCTGTGTTTTAAAGAAGCTTCCTCTTTAGTCCTAAAGTACTTTGCTACATCCTGGCCAGGGTCAGAGGTCACAGAACTACTTAATTGTAGTGTTTTTTTTTAGTTTTAGGTTTTTCTGGGTTGTTTTTTGTACCTTTCCTTTGGGAGTGGAGAATTTTAAATTATAATTATTATTACTGGAAAGCTGCCACAGATTAATTCCCCTAAGTGTTTCTTTCAGTTTATGTTTGTCTTTTGTGTTTAACATCGGTAGAAAGTCTGAATTTTTCAGGGATTGATTGGGGACCAGAATTGCAACATTTGTTACATTTTCAGCTGCTTTCACACCATCAGATGAACCAAACTTTTTGTAAAACCTGCTCCTCTCCTCCTGTTGGGGGCGCTGGACCAAGAACTACTGAATGAAATGACACAAAAAACTCAGAAGAAGACATTGAACGCAGCTTATTTACAAAAATGGATTAAGTGTCATATTTTAGCGGTTGTAGAATTTCTCTTTTATTGAGCCATTTTTTCCTGCTAGTGCTAGACTCTCGTCTTTGTTTTGGTTGCATTTATCCAGAATTTAGTTTAGTTTGTAATTCTAATTGGATGAAGTTGATTTGCTCATCTTGTCTCTGAAAGTTTCCATTTTTAGAGGGAATGTCGCTGACTCGCACGTCTAACATTTATCAGCGTAAAAGTAATAAAATAATAAGATCTCGACACTGTTTCTGTCATATCTGCAGATGCTAATCTCACGTGTTGCTTGTGCTGCTGTTTTTCGTAGAAAAGCTCTACGAAGCGTCCAGACCACTTTTTATCTGCGCCTCACTTGAGGCAGTGCTGCACTTTAGATAAGTTTGACTAACTTTTAAAGCGTGGCTTATCATTTGACGCTTTATCGTCCTGGTTTGTTTTGAAACAAAGACGGAGAAACCAAACAGCATGTACTGAATGTCTTTTTTTTCTTTACACTGCAAAAACACAAAAAATTACGAAGTATTTTTATCCAGTTTCTTGTGCAAATATGTTATTTCAAGGTTACTAACTTAGAAGTTACTATTGAGCAAGAAATAAGAGTATTATAAGTTAATAATTCCAAAATATTTTTGAGAAAGTATTTCTTCTGCTGGCAGATTATTTCACTTATGGGAAATCATTTATAGGAGAAATAAATTGCCAGTGAAATTGATACTTTTTGTAAATCAATATGAAGTGATCAGTGGCGTAAAATAAGCTCCTAAGTTTTGCTAAAAAGTTACTTGTAAGTTAGTTTTGTTTTATTTCAAGATATTCGCACTAGAAACTAGACAAAAATACTTGATAAGATTGTGTATTTTTGCAGTGTCTTCACGGAAAACACTGGTAACTTTTTGGAAAGTAATTTAAAAAATGTCATTGTTTTAACTAAAAAATGTTGGTGAGCTCAGCAGATTTGTCAGAAATTTGCTGTTTGTGACAAATTACATTTCCTCATAATGTGCAGATTCTGTCATTGTCTTGTGTTTGTGTTAAAATGGTTGTGTTGTTAAATCCTTTTGTATGCCTTTAAGAAAGGAAGGAAGTGACTTCGACATCTGTAACTTGTTTTTTAATCTTTTGGGTTTTTCACATCAGCAGAATTTACGAGTGTAAACGAGCTTAAATGTGCCGACTACAAGCTGGAAATCATGGAGTCAGAATCATATTTTTAACCTTAGGAATATACATATATATGTGCTCTTTTTGCTCAATGCAGTAAAATAAATATTTCATTTTTTTCCTTGTACCTTCTTGAGGAAACTAGATTAAATATTATTCATTTATGGACCCGGATCTTTTCCCAGAACTCATCCAGGAAACATAAAGTTAAACACCATAAATCTCGCTGATATTCTGAGGGAAGGTTTGTTCTTTTGTTCTCATTTATTTATTAAATGTAAGTAAACCATTTCAGCCGTGCAGTAAAACATCCAGAATGGTGTAAAATAGTGATTATTAAGTGTTGATGGCAGAAAGTGGCCTGCTTTCCCATCGCTGTGTCGGCTGCAGCTGACTCACCGTGTTGTCGTGTTTCTGGACCTCAGCAGACTGGCTAAAGTAGTTGTGTCATTTCCCGGCACAAAGCCGAATGAGCCAATTTCTTTCTTTTCTAAAACAGAAATTTCAAATGAGTATTTTCAAACAGTTGCTCATATTTCAATCGTCCGTCTGAGTTGCAGGATACCTATGAAAATATTTGTTATAAAATAAAGTGATATTTGCAGAAAAAAGTCTGCATTTTTTTTTGGAAAAATCCCTTTAAAAGCCTCCCTTTCTTGTCCTTTTTTAAAAATAAATAAGTTTTGTATATTTTTTCTCTTTTCACACCCATTTGTGGATAACATATTTTATTGTCGTAGAGTTATCTCAGGTGACGTTATTTATTTGTGGTGCCTCTTTTTTCTATGTTTTTTACTGCACTTTAGTTTTGCTGGGTGTCTGCTGTCATTTATTTGGGGATTAAAATGGTTAAAATTAGATTTTTATGCATGAATTTTGTACCAAATATGTCAATATGTTGCTAAAAATAATTAAAAAGATATTTGAAAGAAAAATGTCATAAGATTACTAGAAAAAGATAATTTTGATTATTTAAAAGCTTACTGAAAATATTTTGATGCTGTTATGTTTATAGACTATCTCTTAATAAAATAAGGAACGATCAGCATTCCTCATTTTATTATTTTACTCTTTTTTGTTTTTCCCAATACAAAATCTCACAAATTTGCTACTTTATTCTCCTAACATTATGTCTTTATCCTGGTGATATCATGACTTTATTTATGTTGGTGTTTTTGTTTGATATCTGTTTTGCTCTTTTTAAGGGTGCTTATAAATAAAACAAACATCGCTATATTTAAAGAAAACAAGGCAAAGTTTTCTTCCTTAGTGTTGTGCCAATCTTAGTGCAAAAGATAAAATCCATATTTCATAATAAATACTTCTTGAATCACACATTTATGCAAACAGAAGCGAAACTTTGGGTTTCAGTTTCTTTAACAGTTCCTGATGTGATGCAGCTTTCATGTAGAAGTAATTGGACTGAATCACCATTTCGTTCCACTTCATTTGTGCTCCTAAAATAAAACCGGAGCTGTGAGCGAAATGAGTCGGTCTCACCGTTACTCCCCTCACCTGGATGGACAGGTCTGGTCGCCACTGAACCAGCACTTCTCCAGGTCCTGATCGTGATTTATTTCAAAGTATTAGAGGGAAAACGTCTCGTTTCCTGCTCTCTGGAGTTTGAAAGTTTAGGTTCTCCAAGCTAAATATGTTGTTGAATTTCAATCATAAACATTCCCCCATGTTCTTATTTTATGATGAGAAAACTCTGATGGCATTACTAGAAAACTGAAGTTTCTTAAGGTGTTTAACATTTTTTTAAAAATTTTTTCGATGAATGATATTCAATGCAAAGTTGGGGAACAAAATGATAAATGCTGGAAATTTCTTTCTGCAAGCAGAGAGACTCGACGTAAACTCAAATTATGTTTTGGTTTTATTGGACGATTTTTAATTCAGAAACCAGTTTCTCTATTCAAACAATCTGGAGATTCTGTTTAAATTATGTGACTGAAAGAGGAAAAGACAACGTAAACAAAATATTTATTGAAAACAATTTTATAAGTTTTGAACAAACTTGTGAGCTTTTATTGTGACAAAATGTCAGTGTCCAGGTGGCATGAATGCTTTTGTGCGTCTTTGAGTTAAAACTTAGTTCTGTTTTCTTTAGTATCCTCTCTAGCATGTGGTAGAAACTCTCTAAATAGTTTATTTTAAGTACTTAAAAGGTTATTTTGTTGCTGATTTTACTTAAAATATGTGCTATATTTTTAATGTAAAGAAATTTGGATGATAAAGCCAACTCTCAAAGTTTGGACGTTGCTCATGGTTGCGGTTTAGATGAATTTATGATTACATGTTTTGTGTATTTTTCTAATTCTTATCTCTCAATGAGGGTGGAAAAAATACTGGATTTTTCTTTGGGTCTGATAAAACACTGATTAAATTTCTGTCCTGTTCCTGAGAGTCAAAATGAGTTGATAATTAAGGATTAAAAGTTCCTCTGATGGGTGCTGTGGCGGCACAGTGGCAAAGCACAAACCACATATTGAGGCCTTAGTTCTCATGGCGGTGGTCGCAGGTTCGATTCCCAGCCTGGTGACATTTGCCACATGTCTTCCCCCTCTCTCATACCACTAGTGCCAACAAAACCTTAAAAAAAAAGTTCCTCTGATGGTCTGTTCATGAACTTGTTTGGTTTAATTCAGCAAACAGTGTCTGAACCACAGATTTTCACCAACCTCATCAAATCCTTGGTTTAAAGCTGTTCACAATAAAATGGAAGTACCAGAATTACCTTGTTTGGTTCACCAACCAAAGTAAGTAAGATTTACATAAACGTGAAATTATTCAAATGGGCAAGTTTTGCATTTCATTTTGAAAGTTTTAAAGTCAAATACTTTGACACAACCATGTTACGTAAACCCACAAGTTCCCTTTATGCAACTCTGGAATGTTTTACATAGGTGGTGGTCATTTTTCCATTTCCTACTTTTGTGGCTTTGGTTGTTTCATACAATGTGCTGTTTTGTTTGCTTTTTGTGGGATATGAAAGGTGATCTGCTGCAGAACATTTTGGACCAGACATGCTGCAGTAATTCCCTACAAGCTCTGACATCTGATATAAAATAGTTTCAAGTCATAAAAACCAAGATGTTGTGTTTTCAGGTAGCTCTCTTCAGCTTACCTGTGCAGCAGAGCTGAGAGACAGAGCAGAAGATGCCTCCCAGGCCGTCCTCAGGGGAGCTGTGGGGCATCCACTTGATGCCCCCAAGGTATGACTTCCTGTTCTGAAATTCAATGTTAATTTATGTTATTCCAAGCAGAAATATCAGCAGGAAAGCATTGATAATGTTGCTCGTTGTGACTGCAGGATCCTAGTGGACTGCCTGCTGCCCAATGGGATGATTCTGACCTTGGAGTGTCTCCGAGAGGCCACGCTAATCACCATCAAGCATGAGCTGTTCAAGGAGGCCAGAAAGTATCCCCTCCATCACCTCCTGCAGGAGGAAACCTCCTACATTTTTGTCAGTGTTACACAGGTGAGAACTTGACTGATGTTTTTTTTTTTGTGGGGTGGAGGGTAGGGAGGCAAAAATAAGCAAAAGTACTTTGAAAAATTTACTTTTTACATGTTTTTTGTCTCTACTGGTTCTAAAAACAGGCCAAGTGCTTAAAAAAAACCCATCTGACTTTTTAAAATAATTCAATGCTCCCTGGTGTCTGGAAAATTTGTCATTTCAAAACCCTTCTGAATGCAACGTCATGAGTCACCTAGTAACCCGAGGGAAGGCCAGTGCGTTACCTAGCAACCCCAGCAGAATTCTGCCCGTTGCCTAGCAACCTATGCAGAGACCTTTCCTAACCTGTTCAAGAGGGAGCACAATGGGTCACTTTAAAGATTAATTGCGTGTATTACTTTTGATCAAGCACTCTCATTTTTAATTTTTTTTACATTTTGTTTATCTTTTGCTCTAAAACAACAGGAAGCAGAGCGGGAGGAGTTCTACGATGAGACTCGAAGGCTGTGTGACCTTCGACTCTTCCAACCTTTCCTCAAAGTGATCGAGCCGGTCGGCAACAGAGAGGAAAAGATCCTGAACAGAGAGATCGGTGAGATCCTTGGTTCTAATAAAACACTAAACAAGGATTTTTCTAAATCTGTAAACATCATTTTATTGGAGTAAATTGAATAAATGATGGATTTTCTGCAATTTCAGGATTTTTGTTGTTGTTAGTTGGCCACAATTAATACAAATTAACTTAAAACGAATTTACCCTCCATTTTGTGTGTGCTGTGTAAGGTTTTGCCATTGGCATGCCTGTGTGTGAGTTTGACCTGGTGAAGGACCCAGAGGTCCAGGACTTCAGGAGAAACATCCTGAATGTTTGCAAAGACTCTGTGGAGCTGAGAAACTCCAGCGGTCCTCACAGCAGAGCGCTGTACGTCTACCCTCCCAACGTCGAGTCGACACAGGAACTCCCCAAACACATCTATAGCAAACTGGACAAAGGTACGCAACGATTTACAATCCAATCACACAACTTCATTACTGATGATCAAAGGAGTAACTGGAACGATACCCGTACAGCTGTTGCATAAATTCAGTAGAAAACATTCAGAATACCATATTCCATCCATTTGCCCCATGCTATTTGACAATGAATTTGCATTCTTTCTCGTTGAATAGTATTAATGTGATTTCTTTTATTTATTGATTTTCTGTTGGTCTTACAGGTCAGATTATTGTTGTAATATGGGTGATTGTTTCCCCAAACAATGACAAGCAAAAGTATACACTAAAGATCAGCCACGACTGTGTGCCAGAACAGGTGAGTTTCATTAACCACACATTAGAAATACACTTTTAAAGCTGACTTGTAACATGTAACAGTAAAGAGTGCATAAGGCGTCTCATTACATTAAAATATTGTTGAATATTTATTTCAAACATGGGTCTCAGAAAATTATATTATTACATAAAAAGTACATTACAACTTACTCCGTCACTGAAAAACGTGCAGACTTGTCCAGTACATAATTATTGGCATCTTTCACAAGGAGAAGCTGCAAAAGACCATAACTACAGAAACGTGGTTCACTTATTGATGTGTCCAAAACCAAACTCCAGCATAATCTCTTTGAATGCATCGCATCCTAAAGGTGATTGCAGAGGCCATTCGCAAGAAGACGCGCAGCATGCTGTTGTCCCCAGAGCAGCTGAAGATGTGCGTTCAAGAATATCAGGGGAAATACATCCTCAAAGTTTGTGGCTGTGACGAATACCTGCTGGAAAAGTATCCCATAAGCCAGTACAAGGTAAGACCCAGCTGACTGGTTCTGGGAGATGGGACTGTTTAATCCCAGTGGCTCTGTTTGGCATCTATGGAAGAAGGTAAAGGCCACTGCAAAAAGATGCATGAATTCTGATTTTAATCTCAGAATTCTTTTTTTTTTCTTCAGAATTCTGACTGTTTTCTCAGATGAATTGTTTTTCTCATAATTCTGACTTCAGTGCCAGAATTTTCACTTTTTCTATCAGAATTCTGAGTTTTTATTTCTTAGATTTTTTTTCCTCAGAATTTTTATTTTCAGAATTTATATTTTTTTCATAAATCTATCTTTAGTATCATAATTTTTACCCTTAGGATTCTCTTTTTTTTTCTCCGCAGAATATTTATTTTCAGAATTCTGACCTTTTTTTCTTCAGAATTTAACCTTTTTTCCTTAGAATTTTTTTTTTTTTTTTTAGAATTCTGCCTTTTGTCTTAGAATTATGACTTTTTTTCCTTTCATAATTGTTTAAATTTGTCATGCACCATCTGGAAAACAAAATCTTTAAAAAAAAATAAAAATTAGGAACAAGCTGAATAAATTGTAGGTTTACAAATCCTGTAACAAGGAAGGAACAATGTTTATTTACTTGGATTTTTGTCAAAGATTAATACAGAATTGGAATTATGAGATTAAAGGCAGGATTATTTTTTTCTTTAGTGGCACTAATCGTCTTCCGTAGTGTCTTACAAACTGTTTCTTTGTTTTTCTTGCAGTACATTCGTAGTTGCATCATGCTGACCAGGATGCCAAACCTGATGCTAATGGCTAAGGACAGCCTGTACACTCAGCTGCCGACTGATAACTTTGTCATGCCATCGTACTCTCGACGTATCTCCACGGCAACGTCGTACATGAATGGAGAGGCTTCGTCCAAGTCGCTATGGAGCATCAACGGGACTCTGCGAATACGAATCCTCTGCGCCACCTACGTCAACGTGAATATACGTGACATAGACAAGGTGGGGACAAATCTACATGAGTGCTTTTACATTCAATAATAAACGGAGCAGAACCTAAACTTAGTTTTAGAGCAGAATCACTTGACTGATTTTTTTCTTTTTAGCTTTGCACAGCTTCCTTTGTTCCTACTTGTTGCTTCCTGTTGAAATAAATGGAGCTACCAACCTAGTTCAACCAAAGGGAACCAGATCTGTTTCTTTGTGCGGTCTTGTCTTTAAATGTAAAGGAAGGCAGATAAACGGAGTAGCAAACAGCACAAGCCCTGAGTAAAAAATAGAAATACTCAGATATTTTGGCAGTAAGTTCATGTTTCTTGGTGTCTGGAAAACGAACCGTTTCAAAAACCTCCTGATTGTTACCTAGCAATTCATGCTGAGTTCCAGCACATTTGATCAGCTGGTTTTACCACTGCATGCTCTTTACAATGGTTGCTGGAAAAGACAGTTTTGTTGTTGACTTGCCACCCAGAAACCACAAGCTGCATTATTGTTGCTTGTGCAAGAGGCTCCACTTCTGCTTTTCAAAGATGTCTGTTTGTATAATTGCATTTGTCTGTTGTCGTATTTACGTGCGAGTGTAAACATTGAGGTGGCCAGCAGGGCGTGGCCAGCAGGGGCTCATTTAGATTTAAAGTGACAAGAAGCCCTAAAACAGCTCATATTAAAATTATTTTGTTCAAAAATGCTATGAACATGTTTTGTATAGACCATAGAGCTATCCTAGCCTGTGCAACCTTTAAATGTAATTTTGAATTTCCTCTTTTCTTGCAGATTTATGTGAGGACCGGAATTTACCACGGAGGTGAACAAATGTGTGACAACGTCAACACACAAAGAGTACCCTGCTCTAATCCCAGGTAGGTGGTCACTACTTTTAAAAAAATACATCCTCCTGCTCTGTGTCCTGTTAAGTAGGACACAGAGCAGGAGGATGGATTAACAGCAGGATGGTGAGATTAAATGGCTGAATTACATTTCTGTTGAACCAGACCTTTTTCCTCACCTTTGAGAAGTTTCCATTCCTTGTCTGATGCGTTGTTTTTGTGCAGGTGGAATGAGTGGCTCCCCTATGACATGTACATCCCGGACGTCCCCCGAGCTGCCAGACTCTGTCTCTCCATCTGCTCTGTTAAAGGCAGAAAGGGAGCCAAGGAGGTAAGACATCTCTGCGTTTAACCATGTCTACTAGAAAACAGAGAAATGCTTCTGTTTTAAATTCTGACTGCAAAGTTATGGGTGTAAATCACAGGACAGTGAAAAAAACCTCTGATAATCCGCTAACGCAAAAACCTCATGTGACGTTACACTTCCAGGAACTTCGTAGCTGACAACTATCTTGGTAGGCATCTTTTGCCAACTGTCTTTACAGTTGCTATGGAGTTGCTATGACAACAATAAACAAGACACTAGCTAAGACCGAGCTCTCGCCTAGCTTCTACCTAATTTATGAACAATATAAGTACATTGTAACTTTTTTTGAGTGCTCCTTTTTTTTTTCTTGGTCTTGAAGCTGTGGTTCATCAATGCTTTGCGCTGCGTTTGCCTACCAAGATGGCGGTTCAGTGCCGCGGCTCACTTCTGGTTCAGACTTGTGGGAACTATGTATTCAGCCTTTCTGTTGAAATGTGCTGTACAAATAAACTTGGTTGATTAATTGATTGTATAGAGGTGCAAATTGTTTGTTTTGCTCTTTTGCTAGCTCTGAAAACAGTTGGCACACTTGACCTACTGTACGCTAACTGTAAATTTCCAGATTAAATTTAATCTGAGAAACAGTTATAAAACTTGACTGTTTTATAAACTTTCCACTTTTAGTGGAATAAAGTTTGACGTCTCTGAAGTTTTGTTATCAACTGTTAAGAATTGGGGTAATTACTCATGCTCTTATTTTGAAGGGGGAGAACATTGTTTACGCAGCAGTTCTGTTTCCTCTCCATGTTGCTGTTTTTTTCCCTCCTGTCTCAAATATACAAAACATGTTTTATTTCAAACATACAGGAACAAAATGAAAAATGGATGATAGAGAACAATATATAAACATAAATGCAATGGCTATGTCCAAGTTATCCACATTAAATTGGTGCTTTAGGGTTGTAGTCTTTCAAGGGCTGATGCTATTGGAATTGAAGTTGGCACTTTAGCATTAGCTTCCGCTAAATACTAACACACTATGTAGTGGAAGCTAATGCTAAAGTAATGTTTTAGCATTAGCAGAACTCATGTGAATATAATATAATATAATATACTTTATGATCCCCAAGGGGAAATTTGCTTTTTTGCTGACAAGCTACTCCATCTAAAAAGTGAGTACAGTAAATATTAAATTATGATTAGTGCGTTTAGGGTTAGCCCTGCTAGCTTTTTAGAGGTTCCACCATTGGTCAAATGATGGGGGTAAATATGTAGTATAGGGTGACTTTTAGAAACGGCACACAGACAGCAGTATATTTGTTTCATTTGCTGCTGTGTGTGTGCTGTTTGAAAGGCCTCTCCTCCTCATCACTCTGAGGTGAATGGAAGCTGTGGCGTCATCTTTGGCTCTGTTTAATTACTAATCAGTCATGGGCACCTTGGTGGCAGAAAACGTCAACAGGAACAGAACCAGCTAAAGTGACCTGACCATTTATTTAAACTGGGATTTTTTTATGTTGAAAAATTTCTTTTTGAACTCACTTTGTTGTAATTTTACTGAAAACACAAATGCAGATTAAGAATCATATCTAGAAAACCTTTTAGATGAGGTTTGTGTGGGTGGAGTGTGTCAATGAAAGCCAGACATGGATATTGTAACGGACACCTAAGGTGAGTCCCGTCTCCTGACCCGCAGCACTAGGTTGATGTCAGAGTAGCGGATGCCCTTTCATGGCCTGTCTAAATTAAAGATAAACATCTTTCTTTAGCAGCCCTTTGTCCCACCACTTACTCTTAACAGGTGCATTTTGACTTGCTGGCTGCTGGTAGCTGCCTCTGCCATATTCACAGCTATTGTCCTTTTTGATAGTTTTGTGGCCACTTTTGTTGAATTCTTGCAAATGAGGCTGAAATAACTAATTTGATTAATCGTTTTTTCCAATAATTGTCAACTAATTTGGTAACTGAATAATCGTTAACTAGAGCGTACACTCTAAAACATGCAATTTGCTAAAAGAACAACACTTTCAGAGCAGTAATTAAGCTAAAACTGTACAGAAATATATACATTTTGCACTTAAGATATAACCCCCACTCCATTTTTTGTATGTAAATGTTTTACCCAGAACTCCTCAAGTTGCAGTTTTAGCTTCAGCTGCTTCAAAATCTGATAAAAAGTCTAATAAAAAAAATCAATAGATCAACCCATTGTATTTGTATTGATAAGTCAAATGATGAAAGGAATGCTGCGTTATATTTTAGGGAGTTGCAACTACCGATAAATAGCTGCTAATCTTCCTTTGCTAGCTAGCTGGTTACTAGGTAGCTAGCTATCATTGTGGGTATGTGTAAATTTATTGCCAGTTGGCTGGACAATAGCTCAGTTCTGTTAGCAACCCGCTAACCCATACATAGCCATTATTTGCGATTTTTCTTTTGTGATACAGCTCTTAAATTCATTGATAATGATCTTTAAAAGTCTTACATTTGAGTGAAAGCTGTAGAAACCTTGTTTTATAATCTTTTGGGTTTTTATGAAAGCGAAATCTTGTAAAATTCACCGTTGTGTTTTTTTTTTTTTTTTTTTTTTGTGTGGTGTTTTCCAGGAACACTGCCCACTAGCTTGGGGCAACATTAACCTGTTTGACTACACTCACACTCTGGTGGCCAACAAGATGGCTCTGAACCTCTGGCCAGTCCCTCATGGCCTGGAAGACCTCCTCAACCCAATAGGAGTCACTGGATCTAATCCCAATAAGGTATTTAACATGTTTTCATAATAAATAATGAGCCATAAATGGCATACAGCAGTCTGCATGGTATCTGAATATTTTTTTTGTTTATTTTAATGTATATTTAGGAAACGCCATGTCTGGAGCTGGAGTTTGACCACTTCAGCTGTCCTGTCAAATACCCAGACATGAATGCAGTGGAAGATCATGCAAACTGGATCATCTCCAGGGAACTGGGCTTTAACTTCAACCTCTCAGTCAACCACTCGGGAACTCAACAGGTCTGTCAAAAATAGGCATTTAGTTTTATCTGGAATTGTATTTAAATTGACAAGCAGTGTCAATGTGAGCAGTTGACATCAGTTTCTGCTCTAACGAAGTTTCCCTTCCATAAATGAAATTACTTTGCAGGGTGTGATGCTGTTAAATGTATAACGTGTGAAGGGGAAATCTGCTGAATGAGTTGTCATTTAAGCCTGATGGTTTTATAACACATTTTGTTGCCTCCTCATATTTTACACACGCTTTATAATTAACACGTCTCCTCACACTGTTCACCACCTCTCACATGTCGTTCTGTGTATCACATCACTTCCGTGTTTGTGCAGTGAAACTTTTAAAATGGGTCACGTTTATTCAGGGTTGTTAGGTTTAGGAAACATGGACTTGCTTTTGATATTACTGGGAAAACAGGAAGCTTAACGGGTTTAATGTCGGCTCAGGTGTCCCGTTATAGTTTCAAAAAAAAATCTAATGGGAAATGAGAATAAAATCTGATTTATTTATATTTTTGACCTTTGATTTTGTTTTAATGTTCATAAAAGAGTGTGATGGATGGATGGATGGAGGGATAAATATTTAACTACACAACCTTTTGCTAACTTGTTACTTCCAACACTATAATGGTGGCTCAGAGGTGCCAGTTCAGATTACTCTCTTCAGTTATTCATGACGGTGTAGATGATGCTCTGTCTTATCAGATTTCTACATGATGTGGGGCATGAAAACCGTGACTTCTGCCATGTTGAAGTGACACATTGAAGATAGTTGGCCAAGGAAGAGGACATGAATGATGCTAGCTGATTTGCTCATCTCTTCTTTTGTTTTTTGTTTGGCAGATCAGTCTTTGACTTCATAGCAGGATAATTTTATATAGTTTTAAATATGGTGGAACATGATTTATACTTGATTCATAGTTTTAAAAGCTGGGTTAATGTAATATATTTGGAGAATTGTGGGTTTATCAGCAGATTTTTCAAATTTTTCCAACAAAAAACTCAAATCTCTTTTGTTTTTAAACATCCCCACGCTGAGACACCATTCATAACATTTTCAAATAATATATCTTAACGTATAAGACTTATTTCTTTGTGTTGGTGGATTTTAGTGTTTCTTTAGACCATTGGTCCCCAAAGTGGGTCCTGGAGGGCCGGCATCCTGCATGTTTTAGGTCTCTCCCTGATTTAGAGCATCATTAGAGGCCTAAGAAGAACATTGACATGCTGAAAAGGTTGTTTCTACCACCAGGGAGGGAACTGAAACATGCAGGATGCCTGCCCTCCAGGACCCACTTTGGGGACCACTGCTTTAGACAAAGTTATTCCATATTCACTGATGTACTGGGAAAGCACAGAGATAGTGATACTGTGAAAGGTTGGTTTAGATTTTACATCTCCGATTAGAACTACTTTGTCACTTTTAAATCAAATGTGAGGTTCCTCAGGGCTCCATTCTCGGGCTCCTCTCATTCGGTGCCTAAATAGTTCAGATTTTAGATTACTACCAATTTCATCATAGAAATTCGAATGACACACACACACTACTTTATTTTTGTCCATATTGTCAGTGAGTGGATTTGGTCAGAATTTTCTCCAACTTAAAGCTGCAGTTGGTAACTTTTATAGAAATATATTTTTGCATATTTGTTGAAACTGTCTCTGTGTCCTGATGTTAGAATGACACAGATAATCTCTTTAAAGGCTTGGTTGTGACAAAATGTGTCGATAAAACCATCTATTAGCAAACTGTTAAAATATCTTCCTTTGCATTCAATGAGTGATTCTGAAATTTAAATTATATTAAACGATGAAGTAATTTGGCACTATACAAATACAAACTAATTCACTATGAAAGTAATGATTAACCCCACAGTTCTTATCCTGAACTTCTGTGGCTTTTTAGAGTGTCCTGTAAAACCGTTTAAATTACCCTGTGCCAATAAACTTGACTTTATAAGCTGTTGAGGTTGCCACTCTGATAAAAGCCCAACTGATTAAATTTTATTTCTGGTTTTAATGATTGCAGTGAATGTTGGGTAGTTTTTTTCCAACAATCTTTTGGTCTGTATTGATATCTAAAAGCTGTTTGTTATTGGCGATTACTTCTCCAGTGTTACTGGATGGTTACTGCGGGTAGTGATGAAGTGTTTCAGCATGTCGCTTCTGTTCGGTTCCAGAGCAGTCGGGCGGCCAGAGATCACGCCCTGACGGAAAGCGACGGCGAACAGATGCGACAGCTGAGTAACAGGGACCCTCTGTCTGAAATCACTGAGCAGGAGAAAGACTTCCTCTGGAGACACAGGTGAGCAACTCGTTCACACTGGAACCATATGGCGACCCAAACATCACAATCATCTCCTGCTGCTTCCTCTGCCAGGCACTACTGTATGAACATCCCAGAAATCCTTCCCAAGATACTTCTTGCTGTCAAATGGAACTCCAGAGATGATGTAGCGCAGGTAAAGCATGGTTATCGACACATTGTGGTGTGTTTGGAGGGCACAGAGCTGCTCCCCAACGATGGCTAGAATTGGTTTTACCTGTCGGGTTGTCAACAAAACGCATTAAATAAGGGTAAATGTACACTTTGCTACCAATTGTCAGCACTTTAACAACTAGTAACAAGGTCAGGAAAAAGTCTTAATTAAGAAAAAATAGTGAGGAAGAGGGAAGTAGTTCAGTTATGCTAGCTTGACTATGACAATCATAACATTTAGATGTGCTGCAGAATTCAGTGTTTCAGTTGGATTAGAAAAACAAAAAAGGGCGACCCACACACCATGACAGGTCATGAGTAGAGCAGGTGTTTAAATGAGCTAATTCACCGCTGCTGTGTTAGCTTAGCTTATAGCAGCAATAGCTAATCTACCACAGCGTCACTTAATACTTGCAAAATAAACAGTATAAACAGAACTATCACACTGAATTAATTACAGTAATAAAGGATGTTGTATAAGAGTGAATTGAAACAATCTTTTTTACAGTTTCTTCTGTTTTTTTTGTTTGTTTGTTTGTTTTATTTCCAAAGTGTGGTGCTGGAAAAGTTGGAAAACCTACCTTGGAAATGCTTGAAAAGTTCTTGAATTTTACTGTGGGGAAAATTGCACAAACCCTGGTTTTGATTTGGGAAGCAAAGAGTTATTTCCAGAAAATTTTACTGTATTTCAAATACAAAAAATGTTCTAAAGCCTTTCTATGTTTGAAATTGTTTTATGAGAGTTTTTTTTTCTTCAAAATGTGTTACATATGCAACTCTTAGAAAAAAATATTGCACGTTATTTCATAAATGTTTGTCCACCTTTTTATTTGCTGATGTTAAATATGACTTAAGTGCACCTCAGTCTTTTGTTCCCAAGTCAATGTGTTTTATTTCCTTCGTGCCAGATGTATTGCTTGTTGAAGGAATGGCCATCGATCCGTCCAGAACAGGCCATGGAGCTGCTGGACTGTAACTACCCAGACCCTGTGGTCAGGCACTTTGCTGTACGCTGCCTTGACAAATACTTGACCGACGATAAACTCTCCCAGTACCTTATCCAGCTTGTTCAGGTTGGTCTCAGTCTAGTACAGAACATAAATACTTGTCTTAACATTTTAAAATAAATTATCAAAAATTTTCCAAATCCGTCGATGCATAAAAGGTTTTAAATACAGACTGTCTGCATAGACTTTATTTAATATAATGCATTACTGGAAGACAAGTAAAACAAAAGAAGTTTGCAGGAGCAGAAAATGTTTAATTCGCCTCACTCGATTTGTACCCTAAGGCAAGATGTTTATTAAATGTTTTGTTAAATAGTTCCTCCTATTGGAACTAGTTTTTGACTGGGGCTGGATGATGTGTCTGAAAACGACATCACTTTACAAGCAACCTTTGAAACTCAGAGATTTCCATGTTCTTTTTCTAGAAAATTTTTGACTTTCAAATTCAGAAATTTAGAAGTTTCAGAAAATGTCCATTAATCTCAAAATTTTGTTGTTTATTTTTAAGCAATTATGAGGCATGGTGGCAAAACCTTAAAACTGCTGCTGCGCAAGTCACTCACTAGTTGTTGCTAGGTAACCAAAGAGTGAGTTGCTAGGCAACAGTGAGTGAATTGCTAGGCAACAGTGAGTGAGTCGCTAGGCAACAGTGAGTGAGTTAGTTAATGTCACCAACCTTTTGTAGCTGTGAGAGGTTGAGCTACAAAAGGTTTCTATGTTGGAAGCAATTAGTGTCCAACATAGAAACCGCAAAGCCTTTCCTTTACCTTCATTTCCCAGAATGCTGTGCGGCTGTAGATCAGACTTCAGTGAATTTCTTATGCATTGAATATTTCGTATTCTATCAGATGTATTTTCTATTGATACCGAATTATTGTCCAGCCCTACTTTTGACAGATTACAATGTACAAGTCCTCACTTATTTAAAGTTAGATTTCAGAATAACTGACAACCATGTACACTTTCTTCTAGGTATTAAAATACGAGCAGTATCTTGACAGTCCGCTAGCTCGCTTTCTCCTCAAAAAGGCCCTGACCAATCAAAGGATAGGCCATTTCTTCTTCTGGCATCTCAAGTGAGTCATCTATTCACTTCCTGCATTAAAAAAGTGATTGATTCTTTGTTTTATGCTGAGATTCCTGGATGTGTTGTGATCTCAGGTCAGAAATGCACAATAAAACTGTGAGCCAAAGGTTTGGGCTGCTGCTGGAGGCTTACTGCAGGGCCTGTGGCATGTACCTCAAACACCTGAGCAGGCAGGTGGAAGCCATGGAGAAGCTCATCAACCTCACCGACATACTCAAACAGGAAAAGAAGGATGAGACGCAAAAGGTTAAATACCATCAGCACACAAGTCTTCACTTTGTTTCAAGACTCTGCATATTTTAAAAATTATTCTGTTTTAATATTTAGTAGGGATGCAAACAATTATTATTTTCTCGATTAATGGTTAGATTAAAATTAGTTCCAATTGATTAAGTAGAAACGTCCGGTTGGAGCTTCTATTCATGTTGTAGTTTGGCCGCCATCCAGCAGAGGGCGCCGCTGGTCATTCTTAAGCGGAGCCGTTGATACAGAAATTAAAGATGGCGGCGGAGTCATTCTAGAACGGAAAAGAGAGACGGTCCAAACAGAGTCCGGTGTGGGATGGAAAACAGATTTTATGCGGTTCAGCTTAGAAATATAAACACTCGACAAACTTCTTGATTTATCACCTTAGTAGCGCTCGTTCAGCCAATTGTCATGACGGAACAGCAGCAACCGAAAATGACTGATATGCTACGGAGGCAAATAAAAGCGGAGAAAACATTCATTCAGGAACAGATGGGATTTCAGTTGGGAGGAATTAATTCATGGGGAATTAATTGTAACACATTTTAGTCCCTTATTTTTCTATTCAGAAACTTATTTTGTTATATTTCATAAACATGTCTTAAGTTTATTAATGTGAGAAAGCCACGATTTCCCTCTTTATTCATTAAACAACTGACAGAAAATAAATTTGTAATGTGTTTTTTTTTTAAAATTCAGCACGTTATAAAAAGTTTAGTCCTTTGTTATAAACATACGTTTATAAGAAAATGGCTGCTTATTAATAGTCAACCATTTAAGATCAATCAGTTTTAGATTAACTTATTAATCGATTACTTGCATCCATAATAATGTTTTGAACAATTTATTTTATAGACATAAAATACAAATGCTGAGCCTTGAAAATTTGAGTACAAGAGTTTTATGAACGTGTAGAACCCCTGACATTAAATTCAAAAATACTTTATTGATCCCCAAGGGAAATTAAATCTAAGCGTAAATATTTGTTTTTATGTTTTTGGTGAAGGTCCAGATGAAGTTTCTTGTAGACCAGATGAAGAGACCCGACTACATGGACGCTCTGCAGAACTTCACCTCTCCACTCAACCCTGCACATCAGCTGGGAAATCTGAGGTTTGCAAAATGATGAGCTGTCATGGCGTCTCTTAGTTCAGAGTGGACGAGGGGAAAATAACTGACAGCGCCACATATCTGTAAACATTTTTATGTCTCAGGTTGGAGGAGTGCAGGATCATGTCATCCGCAAAGAGACCGCTGTGGCTCAACTGGGAGAATCCTGACATCATGTCTGAGTTACTGTTTCAGAATAATGAGATCATCTTCAAAAACGGAGATGGTAACAATCTCACACATGTTGCACTCCAGCAAACATTTCTAATCCCTTATGGAAACCTACAACAACACACGTCCTCACGAATAACTTTAAACGTATCCCGAAACGATTAATCAAATTAATTGTGATTAAGCAATTATTGCCATAATTGTCAATTTAGTAATTGATTAATCTTTAACTGACACATACAGTCTATAAAAGGCAATTTGCTGAAATAACAGACTCAGAATATTATTTAATTTAAAATGTTTCCAAAAAATATTTAGATTTTGCATTTAGGATAAAAAAAACAAAACTTTTTCTGTAATTATGTTCTTTCCAGATCTCCTTAGGTGGCAGTTTGGCTTCATCTTGGTTTCTATCTGTAATCATTTGTGTTTGTCGCAGATTTGCGGCAGGATATGCTGACGCTGCAGATAATCAGAATCATGGAGAACATTTGGCAGAACCAGGGACTGGACCTACGGTACAGCAATCAGTAACGATCTCTGTCTCAGCTTGGGTACTTTGGTGTCATCGGGTCCGCTTTGCTTCCTCAGGATGCTCCCCTACGGCTGCCTGTCTCTGGGAGACTGCGTGGGCCTGATAGAGGTGGTCCGAAACTCCCACACCATCATGCAGATTCAGTGTAAAGGAGGCTTGAAAGGAGCCTTGCAGTTCAACTCCAACACGCTGCATCAGTGGCTCAAGGACAAAAACAAAGGAGAGACGTGAGTTTTCCACTGGTTTTAACTAGAGACTCACAGATGTTGGTATCGGTATCAGTCCCAATATTTAAAAACATTTAGATAAGGAATCAGTGACAAGGTTTCCGATCCATAAAGGGAGATCTATTCAGTCTGATTCTATGCTTTTATTATTTACTTTGCATTAAATATAGATTTTCTTACTGCACTTTCTGAGCCATTTGAAAGAAGGTTTACTGCAGTCCACTTACTGTTTTTATTAGTTTGTTTGTTTATTTATTTTACATCGGCTGCTGTACTCCTAATTGCACTGACTGAACGAATTAAAGTTTTTACATGTTTGACCAAAGCTTGTGAAGCTATTTGTGTATTTCAGTTTGCTCTACTGGTGCAGAATTACCAAATAAAATTTTAATTCAGTACATTTATATCTGTTGCTTTAAAAAAGAAACATTTTTAGTAAATTCAGCTGTTTTTCTGTATTGGATCAGTATCATCTGACACTGAACCTCAGATATCGTATTGGAAGTGAAAAAAGTGGATCGGTGCGTCCCTATTAACGAAGACATAATTACCGGCCGTCTTATTCCCACAGAATGACATTTTCATGTCTGTTTCACCTTATTTATTCGTTTTAAATCTGTTTAGTGATTGAGCATTATCATATTGTTTATTAATTGTGAAAATTTCTTATAAGAATTCTTATTTACCATCTTGTTAAATTTCAATTAATGTTAGAAAAAACCTGACATCAAAAATGTCATTACCATTTTCTCCGCTGTTTGCTCCACAAGAACATCAGTAGATATGAGTAAACTTGAAAATATGATTAAATGTAATTAATTTTCACAGTTTGGAATCATACTGCTGTAAAAATGTGGAAATATGAAGAGCCTGGTCTCAAATGGAAATGTCTTTCAAGAGAAGTATTTGTTTTTGGTGCTATGAATGCTGTGTCATAACCATACAGCTACCTAACAAAGGCTTTCATCATCATTTTTATTGTTGTTAGCATTATTGTACCAGAAAATATTGTGCTAACATCTGATTGATATTTAAATATTTCTCTGTATTTGTGCAGGTATGACCTGGCTGTGGATCTGTTTACGAGGTCCTGTGCTGGCTACTGTGTAGCCACGTTTATTCTGGGGATCGGAGACAGGCACAACAGCAACATTATGGTCAAAGATGACGGACAGGTAACCCACATGCAAACAGACATACACCGCTCTTCTACTTCATTTAACATTTGCAAATATCTGGAAGCGACGTGGATGTTCCTGCAGCCCGTTTTCCTCTGGATGTGTGAAGTTACTGAATGATATATAATTGATATAATTGTCTACTAATTTAGCAATTGATTTTAAAAAAAAAATCCTTTGTAAGTATGTTCTAACCAAAACGTCTCAAATGCATAGTTTTAAATGTATCTAGTTCAAATTCTGTAAAAATATATTTTTTAAATCTCTTATTCAGCACCTTTTGCTGTTCAGTTATTAAAATAATCAAGAGATAATTCCTAGACTTTACTGGTGTTAAACCAGAGAGGTTTGGGAATTTCATAGGTTGATGCAAGAAGTTCTCTTTTCTTCTTCTTTTTTTCGCTGCAGAGGAATCAAGCAAACAGTACATTGTATGCAATAAAATGTTTCTTTTCTTATTTAAAGAAGGAATTGAATTATTTATTTGAAATTTTAATGTATTTCTACTTTTGAATAAAAAGGGTTATATGACAAATCTGCTGAATGTGCTAGTTTTTAATTCGATAAATGGTCAGAGTAATCGATCGGACGATGACTAAAATAATTGTTCCTAGATGAGCTTTAGTTAGTAAAACATTGGCAGCTGAGCTGATGGTTTTTGCTCTGTTTCAGTTGTTTCATATAGACTTTGGCCATTTCCTGGATCACAAGAAGAAGAAATTTGGTTACAAGAGAGAGCGAGTCCCGTTCGTACTGACTCAGGACTTCCTCATCGTCATCAGTAAGGGATCCCAGGAGTGCACAAAGACCAAAGAGTTTGAAAGGTCCTTTCTTTCTTTCTGGTTTATTATTATGACTGCTTTGTGTTGGTCCGACACAAATATGCAACCTCTTTAAATAACCTGTTAGCTGCTGTACATGTTTTGTTTGCTTCTTTTTTCTTTGTTATGGAGCCTTAACATGGAGGGAGAATCGGCTCTCGATTTGAAAGAATACGGCTGACACGATTATCCAGATTAATTGTGAATATTTAAATAATTAGATAATTTAGTAATCGATTAAACTGGAGTTCATACTCATAAATCAAGCCAAATAGTTAAATAATTAACCCACAATTGTACAAAAAGTATTACGAGTTTTCATTTAAGGAAGAAAACAAACTTTATTCTGTAAATATGTTCTGTTGCCTTTACAAATTCATCATTATCAACAAAATGTGACTTTTCTGACAAAAATGTTTCACAAAAATATGTCTTAATATCAGGGGAAAGTGATTAAAGTGATTTCTGCAAAGACAATAATGAAATAATAATGTGCAACATGAAATGAGCAGAACTGGGTAGTAACTACATTCATACAGTTACATTTAAAAATGTAATTTAAGGATTATTTTTACTACATTGTACTTTTTTATTTTGAAGTAAAAACTTGAGGTTGTAACAACAACCTGTTTTTGTTAAACTTTTATAGACTTTATATTGAAAGAAACTAATTTTGAGGAATTTTTCAGATTTTGTAATTATGTTATTATATGAATTATTTAAATTTCAGTGTTTCAATACCAAAATGTACATATTGTACTTCGGTCCATCTAATAATGTAGTTATTAAATATTACATGTTTGATGTTTTGATCAGTTACTCAGAACTTGGTATACTTTTTACCAAATACATTCTTACGTTTGAGTAATTACTTAGACGGATACTTTTTACTTTTAGCTGAGTAAACATATGTGGACGTAGTTCTGTTCTGAAGTTCAATCTCTCTTCCCATCCGTTGCTGTAATCCTGTCGCCATTTTGGCTCCAGGTTCCAGGAAATGTGCTACAAAGCGTATCTGGCCATCCGCCAGCACGCCAACCTCTTCATCAACCTGTTCTCCATGATGCTGGGCTCCGGCATGCCCGAGCTGCAGTCGTTCGACGACATCGCCTACATCCGGAAGACGCTGGCGCTGGAGAAGAGCGAGCAGGTGAGTCCCGACTTCTCCGTCTTTACGTCAAAAGGAACTTCAGGGAACGTCTGGACAATAAATCAATAACGATATGTATCACGATAAACACCTGTGGGAATATTCACTGAGCTCTGATCCAGGACCGCACAGCATTCTGGGGGATGTAGGCAGAGGAAAGGATTTGGCTCAGAGGTGTCCAAAGTGTTTCCATTTGCAGCTCCTGGACTGATTTTGTGTGACCTTTAAATTATACAAATGTGTCTCAGGTAGTTGATGCAAGACTTTTTTTTCTCAATTAGGACAAAAGTATGTCCCACAAATTAAAATCTTCTCACAAAAACATCAGATATAACAAAGTATTTATCTTTTAATTACAACATTTCTGATTTCCATTTATCCACTAATACACTTATACAGACTTTGTTGCACCAAAATCTGCTTTTATTTACACCATTAAACTTTTTCAAATAAAGATTAAATCTTGTTTTTGTTGCTGAAAATAGACCAAATTTTTTTCAGATTTGAGTCGAACCCAAAGTAAATGGAAAGCACGGAGAAACCTTTTGACGTTTGGATCTACAGTGATTTACATATTCCTTTACTGCAAAATTAATCAAACTATTTTCTTTGTGTGACTAAAATATTTCACACTAATTTTATTATTCATTATTTAGCTGGCAATTTTGGCCCTTGTTACAAAAAGTTTGGACACCCCTGCTTTAGCAAGCTCTCGCAGCTAGCTAAGGAAAGTTGGAGGAAACAACTAGCCCACTCACTTTTTGGTTGCCTAGCAACAACCTGCTGAGTAAGAAGCAGTTTCAAGTCACCCCCCCCCCCAATCTTTGGTTACCTAGCAACGACCTGGTGAGTGACGTGCACAGCAGCAGTTTCAGGTTTTTTCCCCCGTATTTCATAACTGCTTTAAAAAAAAAAAAAAAAACGTCTTGGAATGAAAACTGTGGATAAAATAGGAATGGTCTCCAGTTTAGCTGTATTTCAGATATTTAAAACAAAAATCGACTGACATGGAATAGGGTTTTCAGCCGTATCGTCCAGCCTGACTTCAGAGTCTCCTCCTTTCTTCATGGGTTTTTGTTTCTTGTGTGACGCAGGAGGCTTTGGATTATTTCATGAAGCAGATGAACGACGCTCACCATGGAGGTTGGACCACCAAGATGGACTGGATTTTCCACACGATTCGGCAGCATGCACTAAACTAAACGCATTAAACTCAACATGGAGTATTTATTATTACACTTTTTGAAGGGATTTATTTTTCCATTGACCGCAAACTCTATAAAACTCTATGAAGTTTGCCTTTGATTAATTTTTGAAGTACTTTTTCCCTTGTTTTGTAAACGAGGTTCTGGGTTTTCCTCCATTATCCTTTCTGTTTGCCTTTATTTGGGGTGTGCTGCTTTTGTCAGTGTGTCAATTTTTCCTCAGGACCCTGACGGTAATAACCTCCCCAGACTTTCATGTTTGGAAAAAAAAGGAAATCTCTTCATTTACTTTGCTGCTCTTTAAATAAAACCAACACAGCTTAGAGAAGCCACGTCCGCCAAGGTGTGTTGGCGGACGCAAAGCAGGTCTGACTTGCTGACCTTCAGTCTTTGCAGTGCTGCACTTTTTCTCAACTTCACTGGAGAGAGGGAAGGCACAGGAAACGGTGTGCACAGATTTTGTGGATTATCTCCCATCTATAATGTCTTCCACAGATAATTTGACCTTTTTTCATTGTTTGGGTTTTTTGAGCAGAAATTTAAAGACTAAAAGGCATCAGAGACATAGACTGTTGAGATTTTCTTTCTCCGGCGACTTCTTGTCCTAAACTTCAGGGCAAAGATGCCTCTCCAAAAAAAAAAAGAAGGAAAAAGTAATGTGTACAGATGTATGACTTTTTAAATTAATTTATGTATTTTGTTTATTTCATTTTGAAAGTCAGAAATATAACAAGATACTATTGATTTTGTAAATATGTTTGGAATTTTGTCACTTAAAGCCTCTTTTAGCACCATTTGATCTGCAGGTGGTTTTCTTGGTTAGACATAATGCTGATATCTTTTCATTTATAAAGTTGGCCTATTTGTTATGTCCAGCCCAGAATCATTTATTTAGAGAAGCAAAAACTGCAAGAGTGAACATTCTGGTCTTGCATTACATATACAACAAGAAGTGAGGAGAAAACACATCCTGGCACTTTGTGTACAAACAGGAATGGAGATTGTCTCACCTTCCACTTCCCCCCCACATGCGGTTAAGTCCCAAAATACACAATCTGAGTAAATTAAACTGAACTAAGAGTAATAAAGCAAAAAAATAAAAAATTGAGGTTTATAGAAAATGGTAAATTTAGTCAAGCAATATTTTCGACAAGTAACATAAAAATCATCTCTGACTACATATTTTCAACCTAGAGTTTTTCTATCCCCAAAAATGTCCAGATAACCAGTTGTTGTGATTGGATATTAGTAGGAGAAAGTACAACCTATTTACGTTTTGCTATTCAGTGCCAAGGAGAAAACCAGAAGCCAGTGTATAAAAGCATTAGCTTGGAGAGTTAAAAAACCGGCACCCTCTGGAAAGATTTAAAAGCCCTCTGTGACGAGCCAAATCTGTCTTTAATTTACAAGACATTTAGGTTGCATTGTTCCCCTCTGTGTTTGGGCCTGAGCCGGTGCTGCCTCGCCTCAAACAACTGTCACCAACACGCCTCATAATGGGGAGTTGTGCTGAGAATGCATGCCTCACTTTTCTCCACATAGACAGTTTTACCTGAGAGTTTAACAAAAATGTTAAGGATGTTATCTGTCACATCAGTCTTTAGCTCCCTCTATAGTTTATCCACAATAAAATGTTGTTTAGCCCTAAAACTGTCACTTTAGGCTAATTCTACGCAACTTTAGCAAAGCAAATTATGCTAACAGAGCTAATTTTGAAGTAATTTGCGACAAAACAACACAAAGTGTATATTTTATTCTCGGAGACGTCGACTCCACTTTTAAAAGCCCTAAGAAGTGAATTGGGATTTGCTTCATACGTCCAACTGTTGTTTTCTGACTCTGAAATATGGCAGATTAGTTTTGCTCAACCAGTACGCATATGGCCAAAAAGACAACTTGAGATGGATTAAAAGTTCATTTGTTGAAAAGTTAAGACACTTAATGATTACATTTAAATGTGAAGGGAACTTTATTGAAATTAAAATGTCTAAAGTATTTCAGTTATTTGGCATGTAATCAGTGCTGAAAACGCAACATGTGACACTAAACCGCTCAATTGGCTGAAGTTTGAACTTTGTGATGCTCCAGAAATTAGAATACTTTGTATAATTAATTGGGTAATTAAAAACCCATTATGGTAAATGAATATACTGAAGAACTTCACCAGACCAGCCAGGTGTATTAAGAGGCCAAAGTGGTAATTTGTTTTAATTTGACACAACCATTTTGTTATGTTTGTGCAGCGTCATTAGCCTGATTGTGTTTCATTACCCAAGTGGACCTTCTGTTTGTTTTTTTTGTACGAGTGATTCCTGTGAAAGCTCATATTGTAAAACCATGTTGGAAATACACTACAAGATGAAAAAGAAATGCTAAATAATTTGAAATATTCTTGCCTTTTTTTGCATGCTTTGCAAATAGCATAGCGAGTGTGTATGACGGAAAATGTGTAATTAGGTGTGGCAACTATGTTGTGTGTTGTCATCCCATGCATCCTCCGAGTCATTCTGTGCAGGCTGCAGAGCTTCATTGGCAGGTTCCAATGGAAAACGACGTGCGATGCCTGCTATAATGGTGTCTAAATAGTTTGGAAACACCCCCATCTTCCCTGGCAGGAAATATTTGCCAGCATTTTTTTTTTTGTGTATAAGGAAAGATAAATAAGGGGAAACAAACTTTTTTTATATATGTATGTACATGTGTTACTTGAAATTTCATGAATTGGAGAGATTATGTCTAATTAGTTCCAATTATGAGAGTCTGTATTGTACTGTATAAGCACCGATGGCTGAAGCATTGTTTAGTACGAGTAGTGAATGTTATTCGTGCCACAGTGAAGACTCAATTACATCTCGATCTGAGGGATACTTAAATACCTTGAAGACTAAAAAATGTTTATTATCTTATAAGATTCCAGCAGCTTTCTAAAGCATGGTTGGTTAAAGTGGTTGTATTACTCAAATCCAAGTTTTTCCTCCTGGAAGTAATCACACTTCAAAAACACAAAGTCTTACCAAGTATTTTTGGCCTAGTTTTTAGTTCAAATATCTTAGTACACCTGAAATAAGACAAAGCTAATTAATAAATTACTTTTCAGCAAGTTATAGGAACTTGCTTTAACTCAATAGTTCCTTAATATTGGTGGAAAAAATACTAGTTCAATTGGCAGATTATTTCACTTACAACACAGGAAAAGTGTTTTGCTAAAAGTGAAAATAACCTGCCAGTGGAACTAGAACTGGGTTGCTAGGTGACAGGCTGGGCTTGGCTGGGGTTGCTAGGTGACGGGCTGGGTTTGGCTGGGGTTGCTAGGTGACGGGCTGGGCTTGGCTGGGGTTGCTAGGTGATGGGCTGGGCTTGGCTGGTGTTGCTAAGTAACGGCACAGTGACCATTGTGTAGTTAAATTATCTGCCACTAGAACTGGTACTTTTTTCATCAATATTAAGGAATTATTTTCTTAAAACAAGTTGCTATATCTTGCTGAAAAGCTGCTTGCGTGTTAATTTTGTCTTATTTCAAGTGTACAAAGATATTTGCATTGGAAACTAGACCAAAAATATTTGATTAGATTTTGTGTTTTTGCAGTGCACCTTCAACAAGAACACTTTAGGAAGCTCAACACAATAAAGTGCAATAAGCCATAATCCTGCCTTTTTAGTGGCTTTCATTATGACTGTTGGACTAAAATGTTTAATCTACCATATAAGCCATTTGTCTTTTTATTGAATTCAGTCGTCGCCTGATGGTTTTGTTTTTTTTGTTTGTTTGTTTAAATGCACTGTTTCTACTGAGCCTCAGATTGAGCCATGAACGGAGAAAATGTCACAAAATGGATTTAAAATTCTGTTTTTAAATTTCAAGCAAATTCTCTGGAATATAAAAGATGAAATATTTTACTTGTGTGCAGCTCTGTGAGTTAGTGTAGTAACTCTGTTTAGAACTCTGTTTTTCACATCCTACTTGCATGAGATCAGTATTTATTTTCCTAATTCCTAGTTTTATAATCTCCCCCCCTCCTTTTTTATTTTGATAAGCATACATTTACCTTATTAACAAATGCCTTAAGTTTGCTCCCTGTAGGTTTTGGGACATTTGGTGTTTAAGTTGCATTGTTATTATTGCTGTTTTATTTATGGATGTACATTTGTTTTGCTTTTGTTCAACATTCAGAGAGGCGACGGTTGTATTCCCTGACCGACCGACTGACTGGTCACCAGGGCGTTCTGTGAAGTGTGTAAATAAATTTGTTAAACATTCACCTGTGTGTTTGCTCCTGTGCTGAACACAATAAGTTCCAACTGTTCCTGCAAACTTTTGTACGTCACTATTACTTTTTCTAGGATTTTTTTTTTTATTCATTCAGATAATTATATTTCTCAGATTTTCACAAATATTCAACTCTTAAATGTAGATTTTTATTTTTATTTTTACTATTTTCATGTTCTTTACAAATCAATCATAAGCTACAAATTTCGACTTTTCTAAAGATTTTGTTTAATGCCAAAGAAAAAAGCGATTTCTGCAAAATAACATGGGATTCCTTTAAAGTGACCTAATTTAACAGAGGTCTAGCCAATTGGTGCCAGCCTCTGAGTGGGATGGAGATCCCCTGAATGCAGTGTTTTTAGTTATTTTGTAGAAATCAAATTTCACTTCAACATTAAACATTTAACAGTAATGTAAAGTCAAATTCTGATAATTTTGTAAAAACTACAGAAGTTAATATTTTTTAGGCACTGCAAGCCTTTATACTTTCACTCACAAAAACATAAAATGTATTGATAATTTAAGTAATTCCATTTATAAGAGTATAATTACTCATCTTTATTTAAACGAAACTAATAAAAAACAACTCTTTAAAATTAACATCCAATACAAGTTCTGTCTTTTTTCCAGGTCTTTGTTTCTGGTATATTCTTGCATTTGATTACACGTCTATATTAAGTGTTTTTACAATATTAAGTGTTTTTCTTTATTCTTTGTTTCCATGGAGATGTATTTAATTTTAAGGTTTAAAAAAAAACTGGGAAATTTTAAAATATCTTAAAAGGGGTTTTATTTGAAATTTGGCTTTTTCTCTTAATTTTCTATCCAATTTTAGGATGGCCACAACAGCAAATTGTGACCCTGATATATGATTCTTCTGCTCTTCATTTATTATGTGTTTTAGGTTGTTAGTTGATCTTTGGGAATCAGACCTCATTTATTGGGTGAAGGATTCACAAATGTGAGTTAAATGGCCTTAAAAAGAAAATGTATTCCTGCGAACGTGACTTGAGGAAATTAGCACTACAAGACAGGGATCTTAGTTTTAACATATCCAATGTAGTTTATTTTTGTCGTGAGGTTTTTCTATCAGGCAAAAGTTTGGGTCGCACGCAGACAATTATGTTCTGTGCCTGTACCGGTATGGAGAGCCATTTGCGCCAAAATTAAATAAATAAATAAATGGGTTAAATAAATAAAAAATGAGTAAAATAAATAAAAAATTTGTTAAATAAATAAATGGGTTAAATAAATAAAAAATGAGTAAAATAAATCAAAAAATGAAGTAAA